TTTATATTAAATCTCAAAATAATGGTCTGAATTTAAAAACTGACACAGAAGGTCTTGATCAGGCATACGCGGATATTTTAGATAAATTGTCAACATCAATTTGACCTAAGCCTTTTCGTTTTGTTATTTTTTAATTTAACGGTTCCTCATTGTATCGTCTTTTACTGTCGAATACGGACGCATATTTATTACAGTCAGTCTTTCTAGTATGATTAAATTGTGAATTTAATTACGAAATAATGTTTTTGTCTACCAACAGAGGTAAGGTTTTAAGGATTTTAGTAATTTTTTGTTTTGTAATAATTTGACTCTAATAGAATTTGTGTTGTTAACGGTCTTTTTCACAGACATATTTCTGATTTTTCGGAATTTCATTACACAACTCCACATCCATTATCTTCGATATTTTTACCTCTAGTTGGTGCACAGGAACATTTTGTTCGTTCAACAAGAATACTTGCATTCTAACTCGGAGTAAATGGAGTAGTGATTTATTATTATTTCGTCGCTGAAGATGGTCTAAATTGCAGACCGAAACGTTCGACGGGGCATCTTAATGTTAATTTGTAAGATTATTAAAAAATTTTTTTTCGCATTGTTAACTGCGTTTGACTCTTAATAGCCTTTAATTTATGTTTTATTTATATCTCTCCATTTTATATATTATATTGAAATGTAAAATTATCTATCTATATTGAAATATGAATTCTCTCTCGAAACGACTTACTATCATTTTTTCATATCTTTTTATTTATAAACCTTTTATTTTGTAATCAACTGCTTATATGTTAAAACAAAAATTCGTAGCGCTACGAACTTTTGTTTTAACCCGATAAAATCGAAACTTATGTCTAGTTGGAGCAAAAGTTTACTGTGTTCTTCTGGGATCTACTACAAAAACGGGATGAAATGCCAAGTGCAGATGCTAGGGTATGTGCAGAGTTGAGAGAAGCCCTGCATGTATGGAACCTCGCCAAAGAAATTGAACAAGCTAATCCTGAAGTCTGGAATGATGAATTAGCTGTGTTACGTCGAGATTTACATCCGGATCAAAATATTTGTATCGATAATTATCCTGCGATTTTAAGGTAAACGCATATTTATTCTTAGTGTATGTTTTATTAAAAAGTTAGTAAAACGATATAATTTGATACTAGAATTGGCAAGAGATTCGATGCGCTGGCGAAGCAACTAACCGAAAGCGCTATGACTATAACACGTTCGGTTGTAGAAGAACAAAATCGTGAGCGTAAGGTATTGATGGAGCAGTTGAAACACTCGCGAGCATTAGAGGCTCAAGCAGTTGCTAGATGGAGAGACATAGCTAAACGACTAACACACGAACGGGCGCCATGGCATTTTTCCGAAAGCTACCCAAAAAATTGGGAATTGGATCCAACTGAAGGCCCTGCGAGAGTTAGAATAAAACTTCAAAGATGTCATTTGAATATTGATAAAAGATTTCTTTTACCTGAATATCAAGATAAATTAGGTATATTTACAGATCGAAATAAATATCATAAAACATTATGGAAAATATTCAGAGATTGTCTTCAGTGAATGCGATCTTCTAATTAACATTTAAGATATGCAAAGAAATAAAATTGATAAATTAAAGAAGTCCTCACATTATAATCTTAAATTTTATTTTATAGCGTCTTCTAATATCGCAATGCCATTATCGTACTTATTTACGAGTATTCGTGAAGACTCTAATACCGCGACTTTAATCGAACGGTTGCATACGAGTGAGAAAATACGTAAGATGTCTCAGGCAAAAGTTGTTACACCTAGGGCTGAATTAGCCGGAGAAGTGCTCATAGGTGAGACATGTGTATATTTCGTTCCCGACAATCCTGATACGCCCTTGCATACGGACGTGAGTAAACCTTTAATTTTTATAATTACAATTTCACAATTAATTGATAATATTTTTCTTAATTATTGTTAATTATAGATAGCATTAGGTGGTTTTGATTTGGCTGTGGCTGGTGGTACTGTTTGGCGTCTCGAGGATATTCGAGAATTGCACAGAAGAAGATATCAATTGCAAGAGAGGGCCATCGAAATCTTTCTCATTACTGGCAGAACTTATCTGTTAGCATTTAATTCGTTCAAGGAAAGGGATGAGTTTGCGACGGAGTTGTCAGCTTGCAATTTACCCAGACGAATCCCTGGCGATGACTTAGGAGAGGCTCTAGCCTTATGGAAAAGTGGCGCACTTACCAATTGGGAATACATAACTTGCTTGAATAAATTGGCAGGTCGTTCATATAATGACTTAATGCAATATCCAGTATTTCCATTCGTTTTGGCAGACTATGTCAGCGAGAAGATTGATTTGAATAATCCAAAAATTTATCGGTAAATGATGGAAAATATGCGGCATAATATATGTACATTCTCGAATACATATACGAATACACTTGTATATTTTACAGGAATTTTAAACGACCGATGGCTGTGCAAGATAAAAAGAATGAACAACATTACATAAATAATTATAATGTAAGCCACATTAAAAGTAATTATTATTATTGTTTTTTAATATTACTAACAAATTAATTTTTGCACAGTACTTGAAACAAACTTTGACAGAAGGATTAAATTTAATTGCCTTAAATCAAGGACCATTCCATTATGGCTCTCATTATAGTAATTCTGGAACTGTATTACACTTTTTGGTACGGCTTCCACCGTTTACTAGCATGTTCCTTTGTTATCAAGGTAGTTACAAGAAAATTATTCTTTTACAATGATATTTATTAAAAAATTATTTTCATGACCTTGTTTTTACTTTTAGATAATAATTTTGATATTCCTGATCGAACATTCCATGCGTTAGCTACCACGTGGAGATTAACTAGTTGTGATTCAACAACAGACGTGAAGGAATTGATACCAGAATTTTTCTATTTACCTGAATTTTTATTAAACTTTGAAGGTAAACCCGCGAGTATATTGCAATTAATATTGAGAAAAAAATAATGTTTGCATAAGTTAATGTAATTCGTATATGTTGCAGGATTCAATTTCGGTGTTCGACAAAATGGTAATAAAGTTGGGGATGTTGAATTACCGAAATGGTGCGGTAGCGACGCGCGTCTATTTATATTGGCACATAGAGCCGCGCTGGAATCAGACATCGTGAGGGAAGTATTGCCATACTGGATCGATCTCGTCTTTGGATTCAGACAGACAGGAAAACCAGCGATAGAGGCTATAAATGTTTTTCATCCCGCAGTACGTGTTCTTATGTTATCACAGCATAGCTTTGAACAATTAAATATTAATAGTTCATTCTTTATATTTAGACTTATTACGGATTCGATGTAGAGCAGATAACTGATCCTTTAGAACGTCAGGCCTGGGAAACCATGGTACGAACATATGGTCAAACGCCCGCGCAATTATTCAGAGCTTCTCATCCAATGAGTCAAAATCTCGGCAACATAACGCTATCTAATCAAATACCACAGGTTATCGAAGGGATCAGTGGTAATTATCTTTCCTGTAAAACCTTTTTTGGTGATTTAAACTGTCAATCTATATTAGCAATTCAAATGTACAATATGTATTAAATGTATTAAATGCTGTAACTGATGTAATCGCAGGTATAAAATGGGGAAATTATGTGGGCGCGCCCGGTAATGAGCCTGTATTATGTTGGAAATTTAAACACAAAACTCAATTAGCTTCTCTAGTTCCTTTGGCAACTGGTGACGTTTTTGGTTTGCCTAATTACACCACGCTTCTCCTTGGTTACACTAAAGAAAAAGGTTATTGATTTATATCGTAACTATTGTATACTACATAATATTTTTTATAATACTCAAAGCTTTAAATCTAGAATGAAAGCCTCTTTTATGTTATCAGGCAGCAGCATGTTGAGTGGTATGTCTGTATTAGGTGTTGCATTAGCGTCATGGAGCAGCACAGATGGAATTGCTAGATTAAAATGTAAGAAAGAACAACCGCCAAGACCTCTAATTAAATCTTCAGGTCTTGATCCCGTAAGTGTCTTAAAACTCATTTCCTTAATTAATAAGACTAAAAAATTAAACAGTAATAAGTCTTAATAAAAATTAATTCTTATATATATATATAAAACAAGATTCGAATTATTTCTTCTAGAATAAAACATTTAATATACAATACCTAATTGTTTTTTTAGATTACGACGTTGGCATCTACTCCTGATTGCGGACAACTTTGGATTGGACATTTATCAGGCAGAATCATAGTGCACGCGTATACTATAGGGATTGCGGGTAAAATCGAATTCAGTTCAACATCTGCGACAGTACTTCTAGCTCATAACAATCGGGTGACAGTGATATCTCTATCACGCATATTTAGTATTGCCTGTTCCGGTGATGGCAATGGTGTCATTATTATTTGGGATTTGAATAGGTATATGATAAAAAAATAAATTTTACATATTTGAGAGCATAGAGAGAAAAAGTTATATTTATATGAACTCTCATATACTGTATATTTTTATTTTGAAACAGTTTAACGTACGTGAGATCAATAATTTGTGACCAAGGTTATGCTATACATCTCCTGTGTATTAGCGAAACACTCGGGGATGTAGCCGCTACTTATGACATTCTTAGAACAGAGGACAACGCGACAAACAATCAGGACAACAATCAGTCCGAGTTGACAGTATACACTATAAATGCGAGGGCCGTTGGTTCCACTTTATCCAGACGACGTGTAACGGCACTTTGTTACAGTAATGCACCAGAAGGAGTTTCTGTCAATGTTGTCGCAACTGGTTTAGACAACGGAATAATAAGGTATGATGAAAATGTTATTTCAAATTTACAAACAATTATTAAAAATATTCTTGATGACGTAGATTATGGAGCAGTTGGGATCTGCAGTTAGTCAGAGAAATTTCGAATAATGTGGGAGGTTGCGGTGCAATAATCGCTGTAGCGTGGTCTCTGGATCAGCACCATTTATACGCAGTCACGGAAGACTTCACTGTTCTCATTTGGGAAGGATCTAAGCGTCTCAGCAACGGTACTCCGAAATTTGTCAATTTAACGTCATACTGACCTGTAGACTCATTATTCACATAATTTGAAAACGATACAGAAACAAATGGACGAACTGAGAAGACAACTTATATATAGAGAAAAAGATTTTGATTGGAAGTATAAACATGACATTATATTTTATATTACATTTATAATGTTTATACTAACATGCAGCTTTTTCATATCCTTTCTTAATATGATTTTTTGATGTAATTTTTCAATTTTGTCATTCTATTATTATTTAAAAATGAATGTTTATTTTTGTTAATCGTGCTCATCTTTTTTTTTTATCCAGTCATAATCATCATGATATGTACTGAAGAAAAAATGAACAATGCGATAAAGTATTATTCTAATAGACTCTCGATATAATGATTAACTTGTTTAATTATATATTTCATTATATTTTTATATAAACTTTTATATTGAATCATGTATTCATATAGAGATTATATATTTCATTGTTCAATAATGTAATTTATATACATAAATTTTTATAGAATAACATAAAACACAACACACACAACAAAGTGTTTACACAAACTACTCATTTTTCCAATGTTTGCATTCCTATTGCTGATATTTCTATGCAAATGTATGTATATATGTATATCAAATAAATCTTTACTGCAATAAAGATACTGATATCTCATTTATCCAACACAAATACTTAATTGCTTACCTTATATCTCATTTAGGCAAGGCTCAATCATTTCAAACATTGGATAATTTTTGGTTGTTCTTCTTGCAATTTGATCTGCTGTGTCTCCACTTGAGTTTACCAGGTAAGGATTCATGTCAGGATGCAAGAGAAGGAGTTGGAGAGCAGGGGAGTTGTATGAACTAGCGGAAATCAGATGTAAAGGTGTTTGATCTCCTTTGCTTTTTGCATTGACATCTGCTCCATATGCAATTAAGGCTTCAGCACATTCTGTGTTGTTCCAACAGCAAGCAGAATGTAGAGGTTGCCATTCGTCTTGGGTTTTAGCGTCTATTTTAGCCCCTGCTTCAAGTAAGTACTGTTGAAACAGATAGTATTAAATAATTTGTAAAAAGCTAAAAAAAAAAAGGAAATAATTGTCTTTTCTATAAACCTACCTCCACTACTTCCACATTATTGCCATAACATGCTCTGTGAAGTGGAGTATAGCCATCTTTATCAGTACAGTCGAGTAATTGGTAGTTTTTACTCAATAAATTCTTAATATTCTCTAGATTTCCCTCTTCAGCTGCGCTTAATATGGCCTTTGCATCAGGTTCTAGAGCGAAAGAGAAACATAATAAAAATATATAGACATGAAATTAATTTAACAGAAAATGTTTTGAAGTTATGTACATGTAGTTTTATTTCCTTCGATTGTTGCAGATGCAATTAATTTTTTTTGGTAATTCTACAATGTGCTCTTTGTTTCCTCTTTCTTACTGTTTGTCTCTTGCCTACTTTTACCTTTTTAACCAAAAGGCAAGAGACAAACAACAAGAAACAGGAAACAAAAAACACATTGTAGAATTACTATTTGAATTAGAAGCTGGGATGCTGGTCAAAATCCTAACCTTTTGCATTACGTTCTGCTTCCACACCATCATCGTCATCCTCCCAGGCGCTCACTTGCATACGCTTGCTATGTGGGCTGCTAAGAACCTTGTCGCGTATCGCCTCTAGATCTTGTAGTTCGTCATTCTCCTCGTCCGATGACATACCTATTCCACTTTAAATCATAAATAATTGTGCGACTATCACAACCATAGAGATAGTAGTATGTACTGGCATGGTCGAAGTAACAAGGTCTGCTATTGCGCAGCCTTTATATCTAGCCAATAGCAAGCAAGACTGAATCCGCCATTTTGCGCGGCATATGTGAAATATATTTAAAAATGATTTTGTGTGTAGAAAGAAATAACAATAAACAGATGTTAAATAAAATACTAAGATAGAAATTATAAAATGTACTAAGTACATTATGTACTGATATGAAATATTAATTAATAATAACGTATAATATCATAATATAATAACATAATTAATAACAACAACAACATGTAAAATACACAACAACACGTAAAATACTAAAATAAATATTAATTAATAATAACATATAATATAATAATATAATAACATAATTAATAATAATAATTAATAATAATAATACTTAATAATAAAAATAATAGTTAATTATTGTTTATTAATTTTACGATTTGTAAATTTAGAAATTTTTTTATTATGCTTTGAACGTTGATTCTGCAAATTAATTTGTTTATTTATTTGCCTTATTCGTATGTAAGTGCGCGTGCGTACCAAACAAAGTAAGACTTTTCGCGGAATAATTTGCATGTCCATCTTTTTCATTGCTTGTTCAGTTTTATCTGCAACTTTTTGAAAAATTCCGGGAACTTTACTAATAGTGTTTGAAGATGTATGAAAAGCTTCAAATTCCTTATTCATGACTTCTGCAATTTTCAATAATTTATCAGAAGGAGTTATTAACCGTCCTTTCGAAATTTTATGAATCCAATCATTTTTAGAATTAAATATTAATTTTACGATTTGTAAATTTAGAAATTTTTTTATTATGCTTTGAACGTTGATTCTGCAAATTAATTTGTTTATTTATTTGCCTTATTCGTATGTAAGTGCGCGTGCGTACCAAACAAAGTAAGACTTTTCGCGGAATAATTTGCATGTCCATCTTTTTCATTGCTTGTTCAGTTTTATCTGCAACTTTTTGAAAAATTCCGGGAACTTTACTAATAGTGTTTGAAGATGTATGAAAAGCTTCAAATTCCTTATTCATGACTTCTGCAATTTTCAATAATTTATCAGAAGGAGTTATTAACCGTCCTTTCGAAATTTTATGAATCCAATCATTTTTAGAATTAATGGACATTTCCGTATGTGTCCCCAAATCGTCATAAAGATGATTGAACCTATGAGCAACATAACCAGCGATATATTTAAGCCCTTCTTGCTGTATAACATCAATGGTATCTAATTCTTCAAGTTCTTTTAAGAGAGTTAGTTCTTCGGAGGAAGGAATATAGGAAGAAGTGGAAGTGGATGTCAAGTAGTCTGTAAATAAAAATGCAACATAGCAAAGATATTATTGACAACTTTTTATTAAAATATTTATTTTGATGCAGTACAGTAAGCAGAGAACAATTTTACCCCCGTATATGATCGTCTTATCCTTGTTGTTCACCCATGTTAAACGAGGATAAGACGATACACTGGGGCACTCGGGTGATGTTTCCGAACGCAGCCTAAATCACTATTAACTCATGATTTTTGAATGAATCACTGCAGAATACAGTTCGATAAAATTAAAAAAAATTTTTTAAAATATATACTATTTTTAAAACATTTTAGAACAAATGAAATATACCACCATCAACACATTCCTCAAAATCGCAATCGTCATAGTCGTTCTGGAAGTCAGCGATGTTAGCAATTATATATTCAGTATCTTCATTGTCTCTTTCAGCATTACTTGGTGCCTTGTCCACCATGTCGTCATCAACGTTGCTAGTCAGGCAAGTTTCTTTGATTGAAATATCATGTACAGAAGTGTTGCTCTTTTCCGTGAAGGTGTCTACAGAATACTTTCCTAAAATATACCAGCAGAGTCTATATCTAATATCCAGCGCGGTTGGTCTGTCATTCGCAGCGCCCATTGCTCGGAAGTATGAAAACATATTTTCTAACACGTCTTGATTTAATCGATTTGTTGTAATATATGACATTACGAAATCTGGCGTATGAAATATTTCTAATAAATCCGAATAAAGACGTTGTAATGAGCAAGTGCTTAGAATGAATCCTTTTTGAAAAGGAAGCATTATTTTTCGTTCTCCGACCGTCATAGTTTGCATTGTCGGTTTTACTTTAGAAAGGATCTCATTTTGTTTGTCAATGTCAACTCCATAACCATTCAATCCCGC